GTTCTTACTTTTGCCATTTCCCTTGAATCAGGGTCCAAGAAGAGGCAGTGCAAAGTGCTCTTCGAGTATGTCCCACAGAATGAGGATGAGCTGGAGCTCAGACTGGGGGATGTGATTGACGTGAGTGAAGAGGTAAGCTGTTTTGCAGAGCTGATCATCTCTTTATGTGGCCAAAAAATCAAATTACTTTTTTGACTGATTACTTAAATTACAAGCATGTTGGAAAAATATATGGGAAGTAGTGTTTTTGCAGCAAAAGCTAATACTTTAGGAATTCTTTCTCTCAGCATCTAATTCTAAGTCAGTGAGTGCTAGGTGTTTACAAGAAGTATTTGATCATCATGGCAATAAATTGTGATCTGTTACACAGATCCATTTTTTGAAAGAGTATGACTGTTCTTTCACCCTGTGTGTTCCTTGTTTTTAGGATACTTACGTCAAAACTGGTGGGCCAGTTACCTTTGAGTTTACATACTCTAAATTGCTTTAGGTGAAAAATGTTATTTGACTTGATTTTACAGTTTCATGCTCCTTTGTAAACTCATTGGAACTTTGAACTAATAGTAACAATATTCAACTCGGAAGTCTCTACCTGTAGTACAATATGCTTCAGCCCACTTGCACAAAAGTATGGAATATACAAATGCACAACATGTTGTTATTTCTATTGCCTTCCTTTTCCATTGGATAAGAAATAGCTGAAGTTATGTCTCAATGTTCAGACTTTGGCATTGGCCCTATGTGTTTGATTGGGGGGTTGGAATGGGGGGTTCATATCTATTCCTACCTGCTTGCTTGGTATCTGTTCCGTACAATAGCACTTGTGGGAGGCTTGAATATGTGGGAAGAGTGTCTTTTCCAAAAGTGAAATCTGTCAGGGAAGTTGTGGAAAAGATTAGAGTGGTTGTGCAAGGAACCTTTTCAGAACTGGGTGGAAAACCTATGCACAGCAGGCCCTGACCTTCACTGGTGCCATCTCTTCTTACTGCCTCCCTGAGGCTCTGAGGAAGGAAAATGAATCTTTCTATCCATGTGTTTGATAGTGCTTTTTAAGTAGCTTTGTGATACTGTGTTTTTCATGTGCATGACCCTCCTTTGAAGACAGAGTGCTAACCTGACGGTTGCCAGGAAGGATTCTTCCATTCTCTTAGCAAGGAAAAAGTTATGCCTTTGGCTGCATTTGCACTAATGCTTCTAGAATTTAGTATCTTGGAGTAAACAAAGCAAGTGACTTTCAAAACCTGCTCACTAAAATCACTGTCTCATGAATACCATTGTGCGTGGGTGTACGGAGTATTCCTGGGTAAGCTCAGCAGTTTGTATCTGTACTAGCAGTTGTGACTGAGTGGTCCACTGTGAGCATTCATCAGAGACAGCATGTGCAGTCTCTTATGCAGCAGAAGCTGCTGTTTTGGGTCACACATGGCACCATCTGGAATTATTTTGGGAGGGGTGAGCAGTGTGATGTATCAGAAATGACCAAGTAGCCAAACAGAATAAAAAGATAAAAGCATTTCCTCTTTTTTAAGGAAGCCTGGATTATATTTTATTCTCTTGGTATTTTTTGGTCTATCCCCATAGTTCATTTCCTAATGATTTAAAAATGCATATTTGTAGTACTCAAACTTTGCTACTTCAGAGAAAAACTGTTAAGCAAAATTTTAGACAAATGCTAGCAAGTAGAAGAATATTGCAGCTTAATGCAAGCACAGAGTTGTTTGTACACTGCTTTTATGGTGATGTAGAATACACATGACAGGTGTAGACTAGATCTGTCTGCTGCACGAAACTGTAGTGATGGGCCAGAAATGTGAAGAATGGTAGAAAGCACCATCCACTGGTTGTGTAATATGCTTGGATAACTTGTCTTAGGTAACTTGTCTTCACTACTTAGATTAATTATTCCCTTTCATTTGTCTAAGAAGGTGCTATGTATATATATATGCAGATAACTCGTAACTGTTACTTTAAGGAAAGATAATTTGGACACATTTTATGGGGAAAATAAAGTAAAATTAGCTCCATGAGGGGATCGGTTCTACCAGATAGCTGAGAATAATTTAGTATTTAGTCCGTGCAATTGTTTTCATAAACTGAGTAGTTACAACTGATGCTACTGATGGTAATCAAAGGTGGAGGCAGATAGGTTCAGAAATTAAATAGCTGATACTGAAGAGAGCAGAAGTAGCTTTTGGGGAAGAAGGCAATTGTGCTGTGTGCTGGCTGAATACACAGGGGCTTTTGTTTACAGAACATGTGGGGTTTACTTGTGAAAAACATGCACAAAGTGCACATGATAACTGAATCATTGCTGTAAAACCTTTGTTCCTCCTTTATATCTTCCCTCCTCTCCTGTGAGATGCAGCACTAAATGGATTTATTTTTGTAGTATTATACTTCTAGTATTTGCATGTTGTGTTACCAACCATAATCAAATTTCATATAACATCATTAGTGAACTTTTTATTAAAAAAAACAGCCAACTAGATTGGCAAAACTGCTCCTTCAGTCTTCCCCCCACACTTTGTTTACAAGTCTGAGTTTTTGATAGAAATAAACTGATGGGATTCACACTGAAAAAGAGTTCTGATGTGTGTATGAGAGCTGAACCTCCCTCTTGTGGAAATTGGATCATCTGGGAAGATTTTTAAATGGCAGAGAAGGGCTGTGAAATTGTCATCTTTTTTGCTGGTGCTAACAGATGCACAGATGTTCTCCACCAAACTGTGTAGAACTTCTTAAACCTGTTTTCTTCCTGTCACTTAAAGGTACCTTTTCAGAAAATACAGTTTCTATGTAGTCAGGGTTTTTTTAAGACTGCATGGTGAAGAGGCTGAAGCAGGTGTGCTGAAGAAGTTTTTGTTTTGTTCCTGAGTGTCTCTGAACTGGCATTGCTTTGCCTTGCAACTCTGTCAAGTACTTTGCTGACAGTATTTCTTGGTGGAAGAATAAATGAATGCTCAAGTTGTTCTCTGTATTGCAAGCATTAAAAGTCCCTTGTGGCTCCTGGGTATAGTATGGGTGAGGCAAGGCATTTGTATTTCAGTTTTCTGTCAGGTGTTATGCAAAGCTTGAGGTGCCAGAGCCTGGGCAGCACTTGCCAGTAGTCTGTGCTTGAAGTTTGTTTCAGAGTACTGTCCTTTGAGTTTGAACCATCCACAGCAAAGCTATATTTATGCACCAAGATGTCTTTAAAATAACACTGCTCTTTTCATTGCCTGTCTCTGTAGCTGCTAGGTTCTGTGTGCTCTCTGCTTGCCTGGAGGTAGGTTGGCATTTCAAAACTGTGCCTGTGTGTCAGGCGGAGTGACCTACAAAACAAGGATAAAAAAAGACAATGTAAACAACTGCTCTTGGGTTTGCTTTTTTCTTCCACTATTGTTTTTCTTTCTTATCTAAAAACAACTTTCCAGCCCCAGAGCAGGGCAACTGAAATGAAAGGTTTTGAAAATTTACCTTAATTATAGTTTTTAAGTAGTGCTCATTAGGTAAATAGATTGGATTTATTCAAGACACTTTGAAAACTGTTCATAAATTTCAAGAGTATAATTGTTACTCAGCCCTCTGGCATTGTTTTACCCCATCACCTCTGCCCGACTTTTGCTTGTGCTTTGGATCCTGGGGTGTTCCTGATAAATGTTCCACTAAATTTTGGAGTGTTTCAGTGTAAGCAGCACACCAGGAATTCAAGCACATAACTGAGCATTAGTCATTATGTTCCCTAATGCCTGAACAAGTTTACTTCCAGTGTGAAAATGAGATGTTTGGTGAATAACAAAGCCAACAAAATTTGGCCTACAACATACTTTTGTCCTTAGGACTGCTGTGTACCACCACAAAATCCTTGTGGACTCTGTTGGCTGCCCAGCTCAGCTGGAGAAGTCCTTGTGCCTGTGACACATTAGAATTAGGCTACGCTGTTCAGCCAGTTACCGCCTGCTAGAAGGAATGAACGGCTTTGTTTTCCATTACTCTGTGGTGTCTTTGAGGAATTTTCTCTCTTCTACCCAACATTATCTATAGAAATTTTATCTATGAAACTTGTGTCTTTTGATCAAAAGTGTTTGAAGCTGTTCAGTGGATACAAAGCCATTGGGAACAGGACTGGTGGAAACTGGACAAGGCAGAGGCAAAGACGGATGGATGGCAAGAATACATGAAAATTTCCATAGAAAGCCAGGCTAAAAGTTTCACTTCTATTTCATAAACAGTTTGATATTTTCTTCTGTCAGCTGCACAGTGCCTGTCGCTGTGTCTTACCTTGAGAAAGTGAATGAACGTTTTGCATTTTTTTTGTTTAATTGACATGAGGCTAATCTCATGTTTTAGGATCATTGCTATAGTGATGCAAATGAAATAATAAATTTTTTTCTTGCTCTTCTCATTGCCGACTGTTTCTACATATTTGGTAGGTTTCTTTATAAACTTGTCATGGTCATTTGAACTTTCCACAAGTTGTCTCTGAAGTTTTATAAGAGTATTATGGATGGAATTGATAGGAATTTCTCTTTGCTCTGTTGGTAATGTGCATAATATTTCTGTACAGGTAGAAGAAGGCTGGTGGAGTGGAACGGTAAATGGCAGGACAGGGCTGTTTCCTTCAAACTTTGTGAAAGAATTGGAATCAACAGATGATGGAGAAACACGGGATGCTCCAGATGACACAGGTGGTGTTCTGTTTATTACAAATCCTTAGCAAAGTCATTTTAGATTTCTGGTATAATTTGGAGTATTGGGGTTGTAGTACAACAAAAGCTGTAAAGATTTCAAGCTTCCTTAGAATGGTGAGTGTTTAATTTCATTCTAGAAGGTTGTGATGCCAAGAATGAAGATACCTGTCTTGCTCCCAGTACACTTCCAACATATTTGTAAGCTCAAGACCTTGACTGCAATTTTGTGTTCCATGTTTTATCACTAGGAATTCTATCATGTTCAGAGTTGAGGTTTTTTGTTAGTATTGGATATAAATTTATTCTTTTTATTAGCTTTTTTAGGTCATATTCTCACAGACATGATTTCTCTAACACAGAAGACTTAAGCATTTAACCAAGTCATTTGAGAATTAAAATGCCAATTGAATCAAAGCAGTATGGGGAGCCTCAACTTAAAATGAGGCCCGGGAAGGGAGCTCTGGTTCTTCATTATGTTTAATCTAACAATAGAATGTTTTTCAAGGCAGAATTTCCATTTGGCTGCTACTCTGTAGCTATGACAGTACAGCTCAGGCATAAGCAGACAGTCTCTGGCTGAACAGTAGTTAAGTGCTGAGTCGTGCCTGGCAGGTCTGTGCTTTACAGGCCATTACTTCCTTCCCTTGAAAGTGCACTTTAGAAACATTTCGGCCTATGAAAACCTGTTTGAAGGCTGGTGACTTGTGATACGATATTGCTGGAATAGGAGTGGGTTTTGGGAACATCATAACAGGAGTTAATTGATGCTTAAAGACAGCTGTGTAACATTCTAGGCAAACAGTGATGATTTTTTTGACCTTGTGGTATTGTGTACCCTCATTTATGAATGTTTGGTATTCATTGTTTCTAACAAGGGTTTGCTCAGATTTAGGGGAGAAGAGTCTGGTTTGAATTTTTTTTTTTTAATTGTGGAAATAGTTGCAATAGCATAAAACAAGAGTTGTTTGACACGAGCCGTCCCAAATTGGCGCTGGTGAGGCCACACCTTGAGTGTGCAATCCTGGGCCCCTCAGTTCAGGAAGGATATTGAGATGCTGGAGCGTGTCCAGAGAAGAGCTACGAGGCTGGTGAAGGGACTCGAGCACAAGTGCTATGAGGAGAGGCTAAGGGAGTTGGGATTGTGTAGCCTGGAGGAGAGGAGGCTCGGGAGACCTTATCGCCCTCTACAACTACCTGAAAGGAGGTTGTAGTGAGGTGGGGGTTGGTCTCTTCTCCTAGGCAGCTAGCAGTAGGACAAGAGGGCACAGACTCAAGCTCTGCCAGGGGAGGTTTAGGTTGGATATTAGGAAGAGATTTTTTACAGAGAGAGTGCTCAGGCATTGGAATGGGCTGCCCAGGGAGGTGGTGGATTCACCATCCCTGGAGGTTTTCAAGACAAGACTTGAAGTGGCACTTAGTGCCATGGTCTAGTGATGGTGGTAGGGTTGGACTCGATGATATTTGAGGTCTCTTCCAACCAGATTGATTCTATGATTCTAAATAGCTCAGTGGCTTTCTCCTTGGAGGTCAAGTTCCCTGAGTTTAATGGGGTCTGGTGAGATGAATTTACAAATAGGTATGTGTTAGTTGTAACTCCTGAATCCTGAGATTAGTGAAATTGAACAGTAATTTGAAGTAATTTTATATTCTGTCAGTAAGTAAAAAGTTACGGTTTTCAGCCCCTACCCCACCCCCT